CAGCCCGCAGGAGTCGAGGGCTGGCAGGGAGGAGCTGATTTCTGGGTCTAGTGTGTGGAGTGAACCTCTCAATTCCCATCCCTTCGACTCGGGGTGTGGGCTCTGCCCCCCTTTCTTTGCCATCTCCGTGGGGTTTCCATCGGACGTGGGTCAGAGATCCCAGTCTGATGGGAATGGAGGGCGGCCTCACTTCCATCCTGTACTAGGTACGGACCCCACCCCCTCCCCCTGGGTCTCTGATGTCACAGAGCCACCCGTGTGTTCCTGGTGGGCTTGGTACCGCAGACCCTCCACCGAGGCTTCTGAATGGGTCCCTTCCCCGTGGACAAGAAAAGTGAGGCCAGCTTTTGTACTTGCCAGGATCAGACCTTCCCAGAGACCCCTGTGTCTTCACCCGTCTCTGAGTCCCTGCCTCAGGTCATCCGGTCCACCACCAGGGACTCCTCTCGTGAAGGGCAGGTGCAGGGGAGACCGAGTCCCTTGCCTTTGGTTTCCCAGGGCCGTGGTTGGAGGAGTGTGTTTCTCCAAAAGTGCTGCTGAGACTCCCCTCCCTTTGAGGGTGTGGTGTGGTGGTCCTTCAGGAGGGGGAGGCCCTGGCTCCCCGAGGGGACGTGCGCCCCAGGGCTGGACCTCGTCTTCATCTAGGGATGGGCCTTGAGCCACTCTGAATTTCAAGGGGTGCAGAGCACAGAGCCAGACATCCTGAGTGGCCTGGGGACAGGAGGCATCAGGGGATGATGTGTGGCCAGGGACACCGCGTGGAGGGGTGGGGGAGGGCAGGAGCTGCCTTCCAGGCCTGTTCCAGGTCCCAGGTCCCAGGCTGCATGTGTGGACTGAGAACCCATCGGGCAGCTGGCACCTGGTTCTGATGAGCTGAGGAGTGTGTAAGGGCTAAGCAATGGCAGGCCTTGCCTGGGCTGGGGAGCAGCTGCCCTTTCTCCTCCTCCTTGGTCCACGCTCAGTTCAGATCTGAGGAGCAGGGACCTCTGGAGGACCCAGTTGGGAACCAGGGAGAAAGGCAGACCTTGTGTCTGACCTGACACTGATGGTGCCTGGTCACCACATTCAGAAATGTGAAAAGCCAAGTACACTTCATGGCCTGAATATCCATGACAAAATGGTGCTCCAGAGAAGTGGTTCCGGGTACCTTGCTCCATCAGGGTGTGGAAAGTGCTGGTCTCACTGCATCTGCACCTCCTGGACTTTAGTGCGTGGTCCGAGTCCTCACCAGGTGGACACGCTCGAGGTGCTTTTGAATTCCCACACCAGAGGCAATGTCCGAGGGCTTGACTAGTGGGGAACAGAAGGGTTCCTCTCCTTTTCCTGGGCTTCCATGTGGCCCACAGACCTGTTTGCCCACAACCTCACCTTGGTGGTGGCACAGGCATGGAGTGCATGGTCCTCTACTGTGTGGACCCGTGCGCACAGCTCTGTTCTGGTCGTTATGTCGTAGTAGATTTTTAAGGAGCTGTAAAATGTGCATAGCCCCCCATCTCGACCTTTCCTGCATTCTTTGTGAATCTTGTTCTGAATCTTGTCCTTGTCCTTCCAGGTCCGACCTGTCTTGTCCTCCTGCCTGAGCGCCTCCGTGGTGTTCGGTGTCTGGGATGCATTTCCACTAGCCATTTGCTTGCAAACTGAATGAAAGGCACCTTCTGGCCTGTGTATTTCAGCTCAAGACAGAGTGATGAAGTACCCACTGTGACTTTTCCGATGGCAAATCCCATGCAGCACGACCTCTGGTGGGGAGGGCTGGGGGTGGAGTTGTGCACACCCTCTGGTCTCCGGCAGCATGGTCCTCTTCTCCCTGGGCGCTGGGTGGATCCGCCTTCCCTCACTGTGACTGTGACCCCAGGTATGTAGGGAGTAGAGGTCTCTTTGGGCTCGTGGTTCCAGAAGTTTCAGTCCTCAGTGGTTGGCCCCAGGGCTGGGACCTTTGGTGGTCCAGTTATTGTGGCAGGCAGGAGCACGTTGGAGTGAGCTGCTCACCTCATGGTACCTGGGGAACAAGGAGAGAGTCGGAAGGGACAGGGTATGCCTGCCCTGGGGAGCCTGCCTTCCTCCATCTCTCCTGCTAGTGTTATGCCCTGTTCCCCTCCCAGTGGCACAAGACTGAAGACACCTTCACCACATGGGCCTTTGGGAACATTTCAGATCTGAAGGACAGCATGCACCAGCACCTGACTCGTACCTGAGCAGGTGGCCGTCCAAGGCCAAGAACCCTCCCACCCCAGGATGTCCCAGCTGAACTTTCCCCAATGGGGGGGGCTCCCTCTGTTTCCAGGACCTTGTGGCAAGGAACAGGTCCCTGCTCACATGCCTTTTCCTTTCAAACCCTCCAGGAGCAGCGTGTGAAACTGCCCCGTCGTGCTTGGACCAGGAGGTGGGGATGGCAGAGCAGGGAACCTTCTGCCTTGGACTGGAGGGGATCTTGACCGCCCACCCAGGTGCCTTCTATGATGGGGCTGGGCTCCCACATGCCCCAACTGACCAGCCATGTGGTGTGCTTTCCCACTGCCTCTCTGTGCCCTGGAAGGGTGACCTTTACCAGTGCTGTTTAGTCCCTGGGTCCCCTACCTTCTCATTGGGTTTGGCTAGTCAGGGGCTCTGGCCCATGTCCGCGGGCAGCAGCAGGGTGGGTGAAGAGGCTGCCTCATTGGCCCTGAGGCCGGGCCATGCTCCTGCTCTGTAGGAACTGGACTTCTTGCATTTTTTCTCTCTGCAGAGGGATGCCACAGTGACTCTGGGCTGGTGCGTGGATGGCCCCTCCTTCCTGCGGGCTGGCTGGCGGTGCCGACAGGTTGGCATGCCAGCGCCGGAGGGTTGTCTTGAGGGCTTAGTGGCATCAATGCTCCAAAAATGTGGAAAACTGTTAATGACGCTTTGCCCCATGCCATATTCGAGGGCTCAATCCTAGCTGGCGTTCCTGTGCCACAGGTGAGCTCTCCCTGCTGCTCTCCTGCATTCCGTCCTGGGTCTCATCCTCACCTGCCATTGCAGGTTCACTTGATTTACGACCTGTGTTTTATAAACTGGGCCTCTGCAAGCATTGTTTTGTGTCAAAGCCTGTCAGTCTGCTTCTCTCACTGTCCTTCTCCGTGACATCTGGGGTGTGTGTGTGTGTGTGTGTGTGTGTGTGTGTAATTTTATCTGGGCATTTTTCCTTCCAGGAAAATCCAGGCTAGAACTTTTAATCCAAACCAGTGCAAGCAGAGAAGGCCCAGTGCCTGCAGGAGGCGCTGTCCCCCAGGTCCCGTTCCTCCCAGCCACGTGGACAGCCAGGCTCCTCACATCCCCGTCTTGCCCTGCCACAGCCTCCTCCTGCCAGGAGGGACAGAAACACAGCCTGATCCCCGGTCCTTTGGCCTCCTGCACAGAACATCAGGATGCAGAGAGATGCAGGGAGAGTTCCACCTGGAGTCTGTCTGCTCTGTGAACCTCGGAAGTGGGCAGTAGGGTGAATCTGACTGGTGTCACCTGACTTTGACTGAACTAATGTAATGGAGCCAAAAATACAAAAATACACGGGCACCGAGGCAGCGAGCATCCGAGCCCTTAGGGAGGAGAGAGACGGACAGTGGAACCTCTATGCGGCAGCAGGAGCTGCCTGGTGTTTTGGGGCCTGCAGGGTTCATCCCATTAGGCTTCTGAGGAATCTGTCCTCTGGCCAGGGTGCTCCTTGGGAGTCTGCACAGCTCCTTGCCCAGCATGTGGGCGGTGAGGACAGCGGCTGGGCCTGAAGAGGCTTCGTGTTCACTCCTGGATTTCCTCCAGATACAGCCCCGAGGCCCGACTGAGGCTTCTTCCACGTGCATCAGCTTAGCCGATCTCTGTAGGGATTTCACGGTGTGATCAGCAGTGAGCTCAGACCTCCGACTTCTGACCACTCTGTCACTCTGTATTAAGTTCGTAGGCTCACACTCGAGGTTCTGGGGTGAAACATCTCTCCTGGTGAGGGAATTTGCCCTTCAAGTTCCCTCTCACCTCTCAGATTTGTCTCAAACACCAGAGTTCTCTTCACAGGTGGCTTGGGGCAGGCCTGGGCTCCGGCTGGCGTGTCTGGCGTGGTCTTGGAGGTGGGCAGACAAGCAGTGCTTCCCCGTGTCAGGCCTGGCCCGGCCTGGTGCTCTGCAGGCCCGGTAGGGGCTGGCTGAGCCTGCGGCACCTCCTCACACCACCCTGGCTTTCCACAGCCCACTCCCCTCAAGCCGCAGGCCCAGAGTAGGCTGCAGGCCTGGGGCAGACACAGGGCCAACCTGATCTGAAGGCTCTGAGCTCCATGGCCACCAGGTGGAGTGCTGGACTGCAGAGAGCCTCTGCAGCAGACCCTGGGTGACTGAAGGGGCGCTTGTGACCTCAGGGAGTGAGAAGCTCCTCAGAGCCAAGCGCAGTGTCCCTGAGGATGTGCCTCAGTGGTTTCCTGATGCCAGAGGGTGCCATAGCGCCCCAGGTGGCCTCACTGGGATGCTATGAGCACGGCTCTTTGTCTTTGTCCCTTGCTCTTTGGACGCCTGGGTTCCACCCACAGGGGGCCAGAGCACTAGGGGAGGGCAAGGCAGCATGGCCGGCACTCTGCACAGGCTGCCAGCAGGCCTTCCGGGGTGAAGCTGGGCAGGCAGAGAGGTCTGGGCCGACAGCAGTCCAGGCAGGGAAGCAGGAAGGACAAAGGCCCTGGTGGGGGTCTTCCCAACACGCTCAGCGAGTAGTGAAATGCTTGGTAGAAGATGAGGTCAGAGTGACCCTATCATGCAGGGTTATAGAGGTCAGGGTGAAATGCTTACATCTCCTCTGAATGAGGAGGGGGGTGATGTGGCAGGACCCAGGCTTTGCCAGAATATCTGTGGCCCCGCGTTGAGGGCAGTCGGCAGGGGCAGGGTGGAAGCGGACACCAGCAGTGGGGTCCCTGCGCAGTTAGGCCCGAGGTAACTAGGGGCTCCCAGGGCTCCGTGCACAGTGTGGTGACGTCGGAGGGGCTGCTTCAGACCAGAGCAGGGGTGCACCTGGGCCCATCTAACCCTGCAGTCCCGGGCCAGAGGCAGAAGCCCCCAGGGACAGTGCGAGGGGAGGGAGGGGCCAGCGCTGGCTCCGCCTTCGTGGCCTAAGCCACTGGGAACCTGGAGTGGCTGCAGGGTGAGCTTGCGCTGGGAACTGCAGGCCTGGCAGAGACCACGGGGACAGGGCTCCAGCGCAGGGCCAGCGGGGTGCTGAGCAGGCGGAGAGGAGGCTGGCGCCCCTCTGAGGAACCCAGGGGCCACGACCCACCGGGCTGCCTCCTGGGGCCGTCTGGAGGCTGCGTGAGGGCTAGGGTGTGGCTAGGGTGCCGGGCACTGTTAGTGTCCCTGGGTCCCTGGGCTCTGTGCCCAGCACCGGGGCCCCATGTGGTCTCCTGGAGGCTCTGGGCCTGAGGTGTGGGGCTGGAGGGGGGCTTCCTGCACCGGCGGAGTCTCCCGCGTGGCCAGCCCCTGAGCGGAGGCACCGTCTCTGTGGCCCCCTTGGACTCGGGCAACAGGCGCGGGCCACTTCCAGGGCACGTCTGCAGTTCCGGGCCGGACCCCAGTGTGGGGACTTCGAAGCCTCTTTCAGCGCAGCTCTCTCCGATTTCTTCAAGCGCCCACATTGTCCGTGGTCCTGCACTGCGGCCTGGAGAGCCACAACAAGCAGGACCTGTTTCCTGAAGCCCCCCTGGCGCTGCGCGGCGGAGCACAGAAGGGCAGCAACCCAGAACGACCTTCTGAGGACACTTTCCCGTTTTCTTAAATGATTCTTGAGAGGGAGGCAGAAGCAGGAATTTTAAAAGGTACATATTTTCAGAAGAGAAAAGGATTGAAATATTAGGCGTTTCAAGTAGTAACATGCAAATCACTTTAAAAATGTCACAGAAAGATCTCCTTTCCATGCTGAATATGAAGTAGTTGGGGAGACACAGCCAGGCTCCTTCCACAAACTTCCTTCTGAGTCACAGCACCCAGAAGAATCGTCCGTGACTTCTCTCTCTTCAGCCAAATGAGAAAAGAGTTTAAATAAATGAGAATTAAGAGCAGTTTAGTTATTGAAATGTTCCTTTTCCTTTTCCCATAGGAAAAGATAACTGCACCAGGATTAATGCTCTTTGAAAACTAAATGCTAGTCCCAAGAAGGCTGCTTGGGCTGCTGTACCATGAACACGTATCTTCTTAAAGTCAAAGGAAACCAGTTTTTTGTTGTTGTTTTTTTACTTTTGACTGCTTTTTGTTTAAGAGTCAGCAACATGCTTAAAATATCGCCTACTTTTGGTTAGATGGGTATTTATAAAGGTCCATTATGATCACTGTCTTCAAACTCATCACACCTCATGGGCAACAGCCCACTCTGATCCGATTCTGAGTGTCCCTTCTCCAGCCCCGGGGCACAGGGAAACCTGAGCTGAGGCCACAAACCCGTCTCCTTTCCCCAAGAAAGAAAATTTAAAGTCAGACAGCAAAAGCCAAGCAGCGGAACTTTATTATGAGTGATACAGCAAGGAAGTGAGGGGAGAGTAAAGCAAAGTGAGGCTCTAGGGCGGGGGAGGGAGGGAGGGAGGGAGAGAGAGAGAGAGA